CACACAGCAAAGATTTGGGCTAAGCAGTGGCAGGTAAGATTATGCCTTGACAGAGGTGCTGGACATATCCACCACTTCCCTACAGTCCTGATGTGCACCAATATGCAAAACTCAACTTCCGAGATAGACAAAATCTGGTCTACTCACTCCTGCAACTCCCAATGGTCATTGATGCCCCACGTATGTTGAAGGAGCAATGAAAGCAATGTGGGGGCCAGTCTTTAGAAATGATCTGAAAGCACCTCAGAGATTCCCGTTTTGAAATGAAAGAGGATAGTTTAGCTATTGATGTTCCGGGCTACCATGAAGGGAGAACATGTTCAGCCTAAGCCACAACAGTATTTCCATCATTGCTTTTTTTTCCCATTGCTTTTTATGGGATTAAAGGAAATGCATGCCTGACAGCACAACGTGAAAACAGAACTCCAGTCAGAACATGTTCATCGTTAATTAAAGTGTATCCACACCCTCCTATCCCTCATAGCCAAGGAAGGTGCCATCTCGGCCTTTATTTGGATTGCAGTTCCCATGCTGCACGTGATCAGCTATGACACGAGCCATTTGAAGGCTTAAACGCTAAGTTGAGAACTGACTGACATAAGCGCACTGGCATGCTTTGAAAGTAACTGTTTTGGGAGACTTTAAATTGGTGAGTAAAGTTCCTGTTTCAGGGCTTTTTCACACCATCTTCCAGACTGGTTCTGGATGTGTTTCCACATGAACGGACACATTTACGTGTATTTGATGCATTCTTGTGCGTGTTTTTCTTGTGCTCTTCTTTTAATTGGTTTTGCTTAGGTTTAATCGTGTTCCGGTGTGGGAAAAAAAACCCCCATGCTGCTGTACTTTTTATAAAAGCTCTAGAAATGAACGACATGATGTGAACTAGCTTCATTTAAATTCATTGGAATTACTGTGTATGCAATTTTGGGGCAGATTAAAAACAAAAAAAATTGCAACAGTCTGGAGATGGCGTGAAGAAGCCATAAGGGACTCAGGATCAGTAGAGTAGAAAACGCTTGTTTTCTATGTGCCCAGTTTACATCATACAGGTGCAGTGGTGTGCAGAAACAAATAACACAGCTCAATGGCCATGGTGTGAACCACCACTTACAGATCTCTGTGCTGCTTTGTCAGAACCCCTCTCTCGAGGAGTCATTACCATTTTTTTTCCTGAACCCACCTCATTGCTTGGAGTATCCAGGCCTCCTTTTAGATACTGTTCAGTCCCGGGTTATTCCTTCCACAGGAAAAACCTCAAGCTCTCCACTTCCAAGTTCGGACTCCACAGTCCAAGAGATGTCCAACTTTCAGCTTTTTGCATGGACCTTCTCCACTGCAAGGTCATCCAGCCCGGATTTAGTCAGACAATGCCACAGCAGTGACATACATAGTAAGGTCAAGTTTTGTGAGTCAAAGAGAAGCAGAACAGATTCTATTGTATTTGCCTGTACACGTTCTACATCCCAGCCCCGAACAACTGGTAGGTAGACTTTTTCAGAGGGTAATGCCTGGACCCAGGGAACTGGTCTCTTCACCCTCTGCTGCAGATGGGGGGTGCCAGATGTGGACCTCCTGGCTTCCAGATTCAGCCACAAACTGACAAAGTTGGTCAAAAATGAGATATTAGAATAGCAAAGTCTATACGCCTATTGTTTTGCATCAGACGAGTTTTGCATGCTCATGCAAGTCCATGGATGTGCAAACCCCGCTTTAGGTCAGAAGGAGATAAACTGCAGGTCGCATGAACCCGTCAAATTCTGAATAACCTCAGAAAAGTCTCAAACTGATGCCATGCCCACAAGGCCAAAGCCCATTGACACAGGTCCTAGTAACTCACAGCTATGGGGTGAATTGCAACAGTAAGCCCTCATTCACATGAGAAACGGGTGGCGCGTACAGATCCGTGCTGCGTGCATGGCCGTATCGGGCTGCTCCCGGGAAGGACAGGTGCTGCATGTGATTGTACGCAGGATGTGTAGGTCAGGTGAGCGTAGTACGTAATCACACGCAGCACCTGTCCTTCCCGGGCGCGGGCCGATACGGCTGTGCACGCAGCACGGAGCTGTACGCACCACCCGTTTCTCGTGTCAGTGAGGGCTTTAGGTTAGCAAATCTCAGTCCAGATGCTGGGAACTTATTTTGAACCCTAAGTGTTGGTACATTAGAAAAAAGGAATACCAAATGTCCGTATCATAATATCACATACGTTTACTGGAAAGAGATGTCCTGACCGGATTTCAAATGTCATGGTGTAAAATAAGACTACTTCTCTGAAGAGACAACTCCAATGATCTCATTCTGTAACAAAGTTATTAAACTGTACTATAAGCCACATGAAAGATTTCCCATTGCACTTCATTATGTATATATAATTTTATTTATTTTAACAAAATAAATATTGTTTTGTGTCAGTGGCCTCGTCATTGTTTCACCCATTTGGTTTCACACTCGCATGCAGCCCTCTCCTCTCCAGCGTGAGTATCATTTTGGCACATGCAATTAGAAGGGGCTTTTAGATTTAATATTCTAACCAAAGAAAATCCTGTGCTCCCAGAGACAGAGAAGGGGTAACTACAAACACACTGCAAAGGATGCTGGGTAACGTGTCTTTTCACTGTTATTAGTGACTAACGCGTAGGTGACCCGGGATCTTTTGTCTGTGCGCTCAGCTCAAATCTCAGCTGAGATTATAAGTATAGTAACAATGGCTTGTTCGTCATTTCACCTAACCAGCGCGTCAGTACTGTATTTGTTTGCTAAGGGCTTGTACTGTGGCCAAAAGTGGCATCTTGTGGAATAAAATCTCCCCTCAACATGCAATATTGGGTTAGATCTCTGGCACATCAGACAAAGATGTGTGGGCACTGTTTAGCAGCATATATAAGTAGTGCTGCCTATGTGATTTCCTCAAGTGAAGCTGTCATGATAGAGGCATTGCTGTTGCCAAATTCTTTTAGGAGCTGCCTGTTCCTTGGCCGTCATCCTCACGGCTTCACCATTAAGCAACAGTGAAGACGGCAGCCACTGAAATCGTGATCTGAATATTTGTTCTAGGTCAGGGACTCAATAAGTAGTGAAGTCAGGGCCTAAAAATGGCAGTGCGGGAACTCAATGCACCTTATAATGTGACAAAGCAAGCGATGGCAGTGCTCACATTTCTACCATGAGAGGTTCTCTTTCAGGTAACTGCTGAAGATCACTACACCCACTAGATGTACAGAGGCGTGTCTCTATAAAAGACTTCCAATCCCTCCATAAATGGGAGCAAATTACTTTAAAATATTGGGATAGATCTATAAAATGTAAGAGGAAATTGTACATTCCGAGTAGAAATGAGTTGGCGTGCAGTTGTTGGTTGCTTCTGTTGCACCGTTGCTGAGGGCTTGTATACAAGTCTTTCGTCACAAAGTCTGGGGCTCCTGATGGCTCCTGTCCTCAATTATTCTCTAATACAGCATAACAGCTGTACATCCTGCACATGGTGCCGTCAATACACATGATCGCTAGACTGCGCCCAGTCACACCAGAAAGAGTGCGTTCTAGAGCGTTTGGCCTCTGGAACGCAACCCGGCAGGCTCACTTTGTTTTGGGGCGGGAGGGGGCGTGGCAGTGCATTGAAGTCAATGGCATCACAGCCACCCCCCCAGACCACAGTTTGATCGCTGGCACCCGAACGCGTGGCACATTAGTGCCTGTGTTTTGGTCCAGTGCGATCTGCAAAAAGTAGTGCATGCAGCATTCTTTGCAGATCGCACTGCACCGGAACGTGCACTTACGTGGCACGCGTTCGGGTGCCGGCGATTGCACTGCAGGTGGGGGGCGTGGCTGCTGTGCCATTGACTTCAATGCAGTATGAGTATAGGGCCTCAACATTTGCCCACCACCTTCCATTCAAATGTCAAATGCTAGAACTTTGGAAAGCAGTGGAGCCCCTGGACATTAGACCCTTGAAGGACATGGAGCAGGATTTAGCACCAGCTTTGGGATTCAAGGCCAATGTACAAACTGGGCTTAGGATTCAAGGGGCTCTGCATGGACACGACAGATCGATCTGAGGACTAACATGTATGTGCGGGCTCAACAAGGTGCCCGCACTTCAGTTCTGTTTCTAACTTGGAAATACTATAGGACAGGTTGGGCTCGCTTAAAATGCACCTTGAATACTGCATGCACTATTTTAGGCGTGCCTAGCTGAGTGTCCATGTGCACTGACTGTTGTGCCATGTCTGTATAGTGGAGGCTTATTACACAATGAGCACACTGACACACAAGGCAAATCTGTGATCAGACAACACTGTCCCAGAGGGGAGACATTCAGAAGTATAAGCCCTTAAATTTTCCATGTCAGGCATGTCTGCCCTCCAGACTGCCCTGTCTTAGCGAGTCAGCGTCCTTACATTTCTCCACTTGCCTGGCGAGTCCTTCTGACGAAGATTAGGTAAAGTGAAGAAGCACGACATGGGCTTTCAGCTTAATTAAAAGTGATGACAGTGGTAATATTAAATGTTTTGGCAGCCCAATGCCCTCTATAATGTCATTCTGGGTGTACTATTCAATATACAAGTTAGGTCTGACCTCCAGCTATTGGGGTTCCATATTGCTGCCAGAATCTTAACTCAAGTGTAAAAAAAACCTCTTTACATGTATAAAATGTATATTTAAAACAGACATAACCTCATAACCAGCAGCCTCAGCCGAAAGCTTCTGTGCACAGACACACTTTCTACAACGCATTCTCTCATGCCTTCCTGGAGCAGTTACATGTCAGGCCCAGCCACTAATGAAAAGATATGGATAACAATCACACGGTGTCATGATTCTCATATCTTACAATAAAAACAAACCGGGAGACCCCAGCACAGAGATATGTATGTATTATATACGGTTCTCTGATTTGTAGGAACTAAAAACAAATCTGCCAATGTTTAGCCCCATTAACATAAAATGTTTAATGGTTGGCGAGGTTACAGCAGCAATAAGCTGCCTTGTGCGAGTTCTTTTCCGGCCTCATAAAGCAAAACCACGGAGTAGAGAAGGGACCGTTCCCTGCGAGTGTGTGGATGAAGGAAGGTGGGGAGTGCAGATGGAGGGAAACGAGCAGCTGCCACTTTAGTGGAAGCCCTTGAAAGCATCCAGATTGAATGCCGTGTCCAGGAATCTCTTCAGTTCTGTGGTGTGGGTTTTCTTGTTGCCAGTGGCGGGAGCAGCTGCGGGTTCTCGTCCGGCGTACCTGGAGCAAGGGACAATAGGTTTCAGTGAGGAACCAACATGAAGTCCATCATATGACTTTGATATAAGTCTAGTTATATCACGATGGCATAGCGGCAGCTATTTTGTGCATGCAACCAGTAATATCGCTGTGTCATGATAGGGAAGTCAATCTGTGGCACACTGGATTCCACTGCAAGTGGATTAAATATCCTAAATGGGTTGGTGGGCTAGAACAGAAGTTAATCAGTCGGCTGCCAAAGGCCAAAGTTTAGCATCTGTACCCAAAAGTATAAAAAGAGGAGCATCAGACTAATAAACAGTCCAGGAAAACCTGCACCAGGACATGAGCACATGGGCCCCCTGCATTGAAAACATAATTTTCTTATTGTTTTATATTTTTTCTTACTATTTTTTAATGTAATTTTTAATACTTATTTTTATTTATGTAATTTTTTTGTTAGCAATAAAGTTAGGTGAAAAAAAAATTGATATCACACAGGAGCTAACAAGTCACTGTGTGACAGCATTTGGAGGTGACAGGTTCTCTTTATTGACCCTTTCACCTCCAATACAGGAGTTCCAGCACAGCACTGTGCTGGAACTCCTGTGACAGGTGAGAGAGGAAGAGCACAGCACGGCACAGCTCTCCCCTCTCACTGTATACACGGAGCGGTAGGATTACTTTTAACCCTGCCGCTCTGCTCACCGTTCTTCATCCTGAGGACGGCGGCGGCGAGGACGGAGCCGGGAGGACACAGCACGGAGAGAGGTAGGTGCGGGGGAGGACGGACCGGCAGTCTAATTACAAGTGTTCTCGGCGATATCGCCGAGATCACTTGTAAAGAAACAAGTGATTTCTCCTATTCTACATTTAGCAAAAGCCGGGCTAAATGTAGAGAATAAATTACCACCCGGGTCACATGGAGTTTCCGGGCGTCGGGTGACTTCAAACCTGTGACGCCCCTCTGCTCAGTGCCGCCCCCGAGGCCGGGCCTCGGTGGCCTTGCCGGGAATCCAGCCCTGGATACACACATAACCTTCACATCCAAAATGCAGAAATGTGTGTATTGAGTGGCCGGGGTTTGTACCCCAGAGGCACTTAGGACAACACTTAGAGAATATATAGGTTTTACATTACACTCAGTTGGTGACGCACAGCACAATAGTCCTCTGTGTAGTGACATGAAGTCTCTGTACTCACCAGACAGGTTTAGTGCGGTGTATCGTGGTGCGTAATCTTGGCTTCACATAGTCATAATAACCCTGATTCTTGTGTTCCTCTTGGCACCAGACAATATCGGCATTAGGATACTTGTTCACTTCCTTCTCTAGTAAGTCGAAAGGGAATGGAGACAGCTAGAGGAGGTAGAAATTGACAAACGTTATACATGAAATTTCAAAGGGAAACTAGAATGGTATTTCGTTTGTAATCACATTATATGTATAGAAGTTCATATACTGATGTTTTATATCATGTTTTCCACCTCTATAAAGTCTGGACACGGCATTCCCACTCGTTGGTTTTTCCAGTCTGCAGAAAGTCAACAAGTCCCATCACTGCTAGTAGAAAGCGTGAACCAACTTGTCAACGTTCTCTGTGAATAATCTGATCCTCTGCAATTCAGGTTTGTTCACAACAGCAGCTTTTCTCAGTATAACAATGAGTCAGCCTGGTGAAAACAAGGAGCGACAGCCTTGTGCTTACTCCCTGCAAGTGGTAAATAAATGGAGCCCATGAAAGAGCAAAGACCCCAGATGCAGCAAACAGTGGGATAGGCAGTCACCCATGTCAGGATCTTATCATCTAGTCAGACATTCCAGGGACAGCACCTACTGCTAGACCAAAAAGAAGCAGCTAGGTTCAGCTTTAACTAGAGCTAGTGGATTGGAATCTTTATTAACAGAAATGGAATCTCAGTAACAGTCACTATTACCACTAGGGATGCACCGATACCGGTTTTTCAGTATCGAGTACCGATAATTTTTTCCCTGTACTCGTCGATACCGAAAGTCCCATTAAGGAAGCCAGGCGGCGTGTAATGACTCGCCACCTGGCTTCCTGATTAGAAGGGATGCGTGTCAAGACTCGCCACCCGGCTCCCCGATTAGGTGACGAGAAGCATGGAGCAGACTTTCTGGCCAACCCGAAAGCCGGGCGCCACAAGGTGACGAGGGAGCATGAAGCCGGCTTCCTGGCCAATCAGGAAGCCGGGCAGCGAGTCATTACACGGCACCCGGCTTTCCGATTGGGAAGCCGGCTCCATGCTCCCTTGGCCAATCAGGAAGCCAGGCAGCGTGTAATGAGTCACTGCTCGGCTACCTAATAGCGTAAGCGCAAGTATCGGACTAGGCATCGCCCAAATACTCGGCAACGGCACCAATACCGATACTAGTATCGGTGCATCCCTAATTACCACGTATGTGGAGTCCAAGATCCCATCCGGCAAATCTTTATTTGCTCTCATGAGATTTGGTGGTGGAGCTTTAACTACTGATGTCAAAGTCAAGACATGACTCCGCTCTTGTGCTAGCGTCTACCCAAAGAGTGGATACATTAAAACAAATGGTATAGAGATCACTTTAAACAGACACTTCACCATTATTGAATGACTTTTTAACCATTTGGATTACCCAATTTACTTTAGTGTAGATCTTCCCTCTTCAGAATAACTATTTCTCATCATTTACTTGATTTAGTCTTCCTAGAAATTACTTTTCCTTGTGGTTCTGAGTGTGGTGGAATAAAACACGTCATACAGGTGAGCGCTTTTAATATAATCTTATTATTACTTATTATGCTAGAGTTCTGATTTGAGAATAAAAATTCAAACACAAATCCCATCACCAGCAGTAAGGGTTCATTCACACCATAGCACACGTCCTAGCCAATGCATTACGTGAATGTGCTGCCATGTGTTTTTGGAACTTGTGCTGTGATGCATTGGAATGCATTTTTAACACACACTGTAATGCAGTTTTGATGGACCCCATTTTTTTTTCTTCCACTTGAGGCTCTTACCATACGCTGCAGTGCATTGCGACGCAATGCGCTGTGTCAAAACACACTTGCAAAAGTGCAACATGTCCAATTTTCAGTGCACACGACACAGCGCATTGGTATGAACTGAAGTTATATTGACTGTTTATTTGTCCCTCCGCTGGGACTGCGTTTGGAAAATTGAGTGTGAATGAGCCCTGATATCAAATCATCATTTTGGAAATGTTCTCACCTGCTCCACACGAGTGATAGCCACTTCAGATTCCATTCCTCTGGTGCTGCGCTCTTTGGTCAGATCGTAATACACTTTGCCTGCACAGAAGACGACACGTTTCACCCCAGAGGGGTTTTGGGAGGCGGGTCCGGCGTCTGGGATTACCCTTTCGAAGTGAGTGCCTTTAGTAAAAGAGAGCACACTGCTAAAGCCAATGTCAAGTGCCACGTATTTTAGTAAAGACAAAACCTAAGAATCGTTATACCACAAAAACAAACAAGTGAAATGTCTTATATGTAAGAAATATTAGTCCTAGAATTATATCCAGGAATGCTTCAGTCTTCTGTCAGAGACCATCCAGGATGCTATAAAACTGACGGGTTCACCAGTCTAAAAAACAGGGAACACGCAGATTGTCTTGAGTTGTATGCGTATTGCCTCGTGAAGGAGGAGATTGAAGGTTGTCAAATGCAGACACCAGAAATGCACCTGCATCCAATTCACCAAGGCTGAGCACCACTGAGCTTATATGAATGAATGCTACTATATAGACCTGTGCTTTCACCCAGTCAGCACAGCTCACGCAATCCGAGTAGTGTTTAGCCAGGCGAGGAAAGCAGGCCGGCAGGGTGACACTTTTGGCAGACATTACTGCAGACAACTGATATTTCATCACTACGTATTACTGATCTACATGCCATGATGGAATGATAATCAGACCGTCAGAATACTTTTGGAGCAGGTGTAGATGTCACCTAAGAGACCCTGTCACTCCTGGAAATGTCAATTTGAGCCTGTACTGGCCTCTACTGCTAAGTAGGAAGACATCAGGAGCCTCCACAGCTACTTGTTAGCAAACGTTAGTAAACTCTCACGGGCAGGGCCCTCCTAACCATCTTGTCTTGACTTGTATTGTAAAGTCCTCCTTACATTGTAAAGTGCTGCACAAACTGTTGCCGCTATATAAATCCTGTATAATAATAAAATAAGTTTCAAGCAAGCTAAGCGATTTATGATCTGTGCGCCCAGAAAGTCATTTCAAAAATTGCTGGCTGGAGAAGAGTCATTAATGCAGAAAAAGTGGAAAGTAGAAGCGGAGTGAAATATGTGCAGAGTGGAGGACGTGTCCCCGATGCCATTATTCCTAACGCTGCTTGTGAGCTCCTACTATCAGCTTCTCTGCCCTGTCATCAGACCAATGAGAGGCTGTTCAATGAGCCATACATGGGGATTACTACAAATGATGAGGTTACATCCTAGATGGGGGAATCCAGCAGCAGGTCTCCGGCCTGTTCTAGATGATAAAATCATCAATAAAATACAGGGAGATTAAACAATGTAATTGGACATATATCTGACAACGAACAGACAGTGCTTCCATATCCTACAAGATGCAGCTTTTTATGCCATCTCTTCCTGAATCTGATCCCCCGTCCTGCTAATACATGTTAGGCATAAAAATTCTAAATGTGAATTTACCTTTCCCATCATTTCAAGGATCAGAATTGGTAACAACATACAATTATAAGTAGTTACTTGGCAACTTTGTATTTACTTAAGCTGGCCATACACTCAAGGCCGGCCTTTGGGGTGTTCGAGCTGTGCGGCCGCACAGGGCGTCATGGCAACAGGGGTGCCTGGCGGCCGACACAGCCTGCAGCGATCCCTTGCCCCCGCGCTGTCTTTCGCCTTGGATCCCCGCTGCCTCTGCCCATACAGGCAGCGGGGATCCGGGGAGAAATGTCCGCTTCCCCGGCGGGGTACTTGTGTTTTGGTGCTCAGATACCGGTGCAAGGTGCAGGTCCACAGCGGCTCTGTGCGTGCGGAGGATGTGTAAATATCAGTGATATTATTTATCCTCTGTGTGCAGCACAAACACTGGAGTGCTCAGCTGATCACACCAATGTTTGTAAATAACTGGGGACACAGAGAACTATGTGTCCCCAGTTATGAATGAACAGGAAGTGCTTTACATCACTTCCTGTTCATTCATGAATTTCTGAATGGGTAAACTGATGATTGTGAAATATTTACAGAGACCTTTCCATTCATTTAGAACAGAGGCTGCAGAAAAAGAGATTGAGGACTTTGTGTCCTCAAATTTTTTTTGCTATTTTAAAAGGTAAATGGCATGTGTCTGTTTAGACCCCTAATATTTCCCCGAAGCCCCCCCAACAGTAAAGAAAAATAAATAATAATAAAAAAATGTAAATTAACACACACACTTAAAATTCATTTCAGATGAAATGAACGAAAACTAAAAAGTTTTCATTCGTTTCATCAAACAAAACAAATGTTTATGCTATTTTGGATTCAGCCATTGGCATGTTCTGGAGGCAGCGCGCATTACATCATATGACATTGTTTACCTTCTGTTGTTTTATTTAATAAGAATGCTTATATTGTGCCTACAAGTTTAATACCGTTGAATAAAAGTTTTATTTTTATCATACTTTTTGATGTTTCTTTGGGGCTTAACAAAATGGGAGTCTTTAAATGGTGCGGATATTGGAGAAATGGGTGTGGCCACTGAGGGGCACTGTAAAGCTTTCTCGCACAGGGCAGCTTGAGGCTGGCCCTGAATAACCCTATAGATTATCTGCAGAGTTTCTATGGTCAGATGGAAAAAGTGCAACAGATTCCTCCATCTACGCTACACTGTGTGTATGGGGGAATCTCCACCTGGGCCAACTTCAGTATCTTGCTAGTCGGCCCCGCTGGCTGTCGGAATACCTAAACAATGCCGGCATCCATTCAGATTGTTCAGGTATTTTGACAGCCAGCGGGGCCGACTAGCAAGATACTGAAGTTGGCCCAGGTGGAGATTCCCCCATACACACAGTGTAGCGTAGATGGAGGAATCTGTTGCACTTTTTCCATCTGACCATAGAAACTCTGCAGATAATCTCTAGGTGTATGGCCAGCTTTAGGCAAAAGCTGGAATTCCTCTATCAGAGTAAAGAGACCCATCACACTGCAGTTTTAATATCTGAGGAGTCCTCATTGGTAACTGCAGCTGTTTTAAATTATCTTGTGTAGGGATGTTCAGATACCAAGTACCGTACTCGGTAGAAGTACAAGTACAGATACCTTTCCAGCTCCAGGACTAGACTAGAAAAAAAATTACAATGTTAGGCGGCAGCTGTCATTTGTAAGGAGCACACGGAGCTCCTGGGATTTGTACATCTCTGTTATAATGTATTATTATTATTTTTTTATATACAAGTGATGCACTGATACCATTTTTGCAAGTACAGGTACTGATACTTGTCCAAGTCCTCACAGATACAAGTACTGATACTTGTCCAAGTCCTCACAGATACAAGTACTGATACTTGTCCAAGTCCTCACAGATACAAGTACTGATACTTGTCCAAGTCCTCACAGATACAAGTACTGATACTTGTCCAAGTCCTCACAGATACAAGTACTGATACTTGTCCAAGTCCTCACAGATACAAGTACTGATACTTGTCCAAGTCCTCACAGATACAAGTACTGATACTTGTCCAAGTCCTCACAGATACAAGTACTGATACTTGTCCAAGTCCTCACAGATACAAGTACTGATACTGGTCCAAGTCCTCACAGATACAAGTACCGATAAATTTTTGTTTATTGTCATGTGACAGTTTTTCTAAAACAATACAGACTAGTGATTTCAGGACAGTGGTGGAGCGCCAGAGCCAGGTCCCAGCTGCAACCCTGGTAGTTCTCGTGAAATTGTTAAGTATCGGCACTGGTATCTGAACATCCCTAGTATTGTGTTAGAGAATATTTGGTTGAGATCATCTTAGTAAGCTACAGCACGTAAGACAATTTGACGATGCTCCAAAAAAAAAAAACCTCTTCATGCCGCCATTTCTCCTTACCTGCCAACATGTCATCAAAACTTGATCTTGCTTCAGGGTGACGAAGAAGAGACTTTGGAGTGAAGACAATCAGCTGCGTGATGGGAAAAATATAAAGAATCAGAAGGGGGGTTATTGTAAACATCACACAACTCGGTAGCCAACTGATACATATCTGTATAGAAAAAACAAGGTGTAAATGATGAGACTCGTCTTTCTTTAAAATGCACATAAATTGGGGCATTGCTCATTTTCTGATAATAATGCCGGTTCTCCTATTGATTTATATAGAGCTCTAAATAACACTTTGCTGCACAGGAGGGTGGAGAATGAAGCCATTATAAAAATAAAACGTAAAAGCCTATTGAAGATTTGCCATAAAGCATGAGAGATGCCCAGCTGTGATGTTGAAAAGGGTTTTGGGGGCAGCGATTACTTAATTACATGTTGGCTAAATGGTTAACACTCATGTGTTGCAATTCTAGGGTCTTAGGTGAATTTTCCACAAAGCACCTTATCTGAATTTGCTTTGTATATTCTCCTCATGTTTGTAAGGCCGGATACAACATACAGAGTGCGTTAATGCAACACAATTTAGCGCATTAAGGTGCACTGCATTAAAGTGGACCTAAAAATCACATCAGCGTGCAGCTCTGCATGCTGATAAGAAATGATCTTACATTCATTAGTTAAAGGAGAACTATGGGGTTAAGGCCTTTCCCCATAGTTCTCCTTAGGGTAGCGGGAGGACACAAAATAGCGTCCTCCCGTCACAATATGCTCAGTATACCGCGAGCTACAGCTTGCGGTATACTGAGACGCCGCCGCTGAAGCGGATCCCGACAATTATGTCTGGATCCGCCCAGCTGCGTGAGTGACAGCTGGCTCTGCCTATCTAGAGGCAGAGGCAGCTGTACCCTCCCCCGTCCGTTCCGCCAGTCAGCGCTGGAGGATCGGAGCGGGGAATCCAGCCCCTCCCCTGTCACGGCAGAGAGCCGTGACAGGATCGAGAAGTGAGCGAACGCCGGTATGTGTTTGCTCACTTCCCGATCTACAGAGCCGCCCTGTGACAGTCTCATTGTAACAGGTCGGCTAGAACTATGAGGTGAGTGAAAAGCACTCATCTCATAGTTCTCCTTTAAATAAACATATTTTTCTTTTACTGACAATTCCACTTCCTGGTCCTCTTAGACATTAGTGATGTAGGCCATGCCTAAGAGATGCATTCTGGAGAGGCTACATGACAGGGAATTGCCGGGATATCTCATCTGTAGATGGCAAAATCTTGCCAGATCTCAGAGAATGATGATGTGCATGGTCACATGTCCTAGTCACATGTGCCAGAGTTCCAGGAGTGGAGGGTGATATATTAATCCGTCCTTAGTAAAAAATGCCACTGTTAGAAGAATGGGGAGGAAAAGGAAAATTATGTATGCAAAGAATAAAAATCCGGCAATTATTTATAAGTATCTCTTTGTAGATTGTCATTACTAAACATTTCTAAAGGTGTATTTGTTGTCATTTCAAAGACGAGGGTAAAGTTCCCCTTTAAGGCAGACCATTTACTCACAGTGGACTGGCAGTGCAGCCTATATTAGATAAACTATATTGCCAAAAGTATTGGGCCACCCTGCAAATCATTGGACTCAGGTGTTCCCGTGAAATTTCCTGGCTACTAAATATTCCAGGGTCACCTGTTACTGGTATTATAACAAAGTGGAAGCAACTGGGAACAACAGCAACTCAGCCACGAAGTGGTAGGCCATGTAAAATGACAGAGCGGGGTCAGTGCATGCTGAAGCGCACAGTGCGCAGATGTCGCCAACTCTCTGCGGAGTGTATAGCTACAGACCTCCAAACTTCGTGTGGCCTTCAGATTGGCACAACAACAGTGTGTAGAGAGCTTCATGGAATGGGTTTCCATGGCCGAGCAGCTGCATCCAAGCCTTACATCACCAAGTGCAATGCAAAGCGTGGGATGCCGTGGTGTAAAGCACGCCGCCACTAGACTCTAGAGAAGTAAAGACGTGTTCTCTAGAGTGACCAATCACGCTTCTCTGTCTGGCAATCCGATGGACGTGTCTGGGTTTGTCGGTTGCCAAGAGAACGGTACTTGCCTGACTGCATTGTGCCAAGTGTAAAGTTTGGTGGAGGGGGGATTAGGGTGTGGGGTTGTTTCTCAGGGGTTGGGCTTGGCTCCTTAGTTCCAGTGAAGGGAACTCTTAAGGCATCAGCATACCAAGACATTTTGGACAATTTCATGCTCCCAACTTTGTGGGAACAGTTTGGGGATGGCCCCTTCCTGTTCCAACATGACTACGCACCAGTGCACAAAGCAAGGTCCATAAAGACATGGATGAGCGAGTTTGGGGTGGAGGAACATGACTGGCCTGCACAGAGTCCTGACCTCAACCCGATAGAACACCTTTGGGATGAATTAGAGCGGAGACTGCGAGCCCGGCCTTCTCATCCAACATCAGTACCTGACCTCACACATGGTCCAACATTCCCATAGACACACTCCTAAACCTTGTGGACGCCTTCCCGGAAGAGTTGAAGGTGTTATAGCTGCAAAGGGCTGAGCCAACCCAATACTGAATCCTACGGACTAAGACTGTGATGCTATTAGAGTTCATGTGCGTGTAAAGGTCGGTGCCCCCAAAACTTTTGGCAATATAGTGTATATGAAAGGTACATTAAGCCAGGTGATAGGTCTAAGTATTGTGACAATTATTTCCTCCCTCTGTATGGAATTAAATTCATACCCCCTTTTGGCTATTAGTATGGGGCGTGTCTGTGCTCCACACATTTACGAAATATAAAAGGTGCTAATCAGCTCACCGGTTTACGGAAAGGCAGCAAGATCTGTCTGCGGAGAACGTGGAAGTAGTTGGCTGGAGTGGAGCAATTCACAACAATCCAGTTGCAGTCGTAAAGCTGGCGGACAGCTAAGTCGTCGGAAGGTTTCTGTGTTGAATGCACAAAAAACAAAAACAAAATTTAACTTTGCATCCAAGTGCATTTAAAAAGGTCAGTACAGTAAACGTATAGAGCTTTACACAGATGATAAACAAATACAATGTAAAATTCATTCATGTATGTATTCATTGTGTCGTTTTATAATGTGCTAAAAGCAATGGTGAGCTGGAGAGTGCTACAACCTATAACAACTCTTTTGCTTAAATCAGTTCACAGAAAGGGCTCACAGCTGATTGGTTGGCTGGTTTATTGTAGTCTGTTATACGACTCTCGTTGTATCTCTGTACAGTTACAAAAGACAAGTCCATTCTGTCCTTCATAAAATCACACAGAATGGGAAGCTCCTTCCTTTGCAACAAATAATTCTGCAATAATGTCCTGTATGATTTATAATCCCACTTCCAGCAGAAACCATAAATTCCACCTCTAACCAGCATAATACAGGAAGCCATCTTTGTTTAGTAATGCTACACTGTACTTTTCATGCATCTTGCCCATAATGTGATATAAAACACCCGATTCCCTCTTTGTAGGAAAGTACATAACCCGTTATCCCTTCTCATGTAATAGTAACACAGGAAATGGTTTTCTATCTCTCTCCTCAGTACACAGTAACACCGTTTCTACTATATGCCAATATATAAAACCAAACCGTGATTATTTATTATTTTTTGCAGGTATTTATAAAGCAATGTCTATTTACACAGCACTTTACATTTACATCAGTCCCGTCCCTCAGGGAGCTTACAATCTAAGGTCCCTATCTCACATACTGTAGAATTTAAACAGGAGCCAATTAACCTTCCAGCATGTCTTTGGAGTGAAGGAACAAAAGAGAGCGCCTCCATAGTGTAAAAATGTTATTTAATAGTAAATACACGCAGCTCTAAGGCTGTACTTACAACAGTTCCGTAGAATAAAAACCAGTAGAATAAGGTGAGAGGACGGACCCCCTGGCAGGGAGAATCTGGAGCGATGTAAAACACCAGTAACCTCGATCATTATCAGAACCAATCGATTGGTTCTGATGAAGGGGGCGTGCGCCAGAAACGTGTAAACCATTTATCAATACAGGGATCGAGGTTACTGGTGTTTTACATCGCTCCAGATTCTCCCTGCCAGGGGGTCCGTCCTCTCACCTTATTCTACTGGTTTTTATTCTACGGAACTGTTGTAAGTACAGCCTTAGAGCTGCGTGTATTTACTATTAAATAACATTTTTACACTATGGAGGCGCTCTCTTTTTTTCCTTTTCTCATAGACTGGTGGTCCAACTAATCTGCGGGAGCTGCCTCCATCGTGTTTGCTATATTTTTACTGCTGGGCTCTTTTTGGATTTGAAGGCGCCGGTATTGTTTTGCAATGTCTTTGGAGTGTGGAAGGAAATCCACTAAGCACAGGCAGAACATGCAAACTCCATGCAGGTAGTGTCCTGACTGGGATTCTGCAAGGCAGAAGTGCCAACAACTAATCCATTGTGCTGATTACACAATTTCTTTTCCTTCAGAATTGTCAAACACATACTTCTCTTTCCAAGTTATTCAAGAGAATGACTTACAGGCCACATGTCTGGGTCATCATTGCACATCTGCAGGAATCGTTCAGGTCGAGCAGAGGAATGTTCCGGGCCCTAAGACACAGACATGAAGGCAAAAGGTTTCAAATCAACAATGTGCAATCAACTAACAAAAGGCTCCTTGAAAAAGCTCCTAAAATGCTTGACAAGTATATTTCGCTTACCATGCCCTCCATGCCGTGTGGTAATAGCAATACAATTCCATTCTGTCGTACCCACTTAGCCTGTCCTGGGCAGATAAACTGATCGATGATGCACTGAGCAGTGTTGTGAAAGTCTCCAAATTGGGCTTCCCAGAGAACCAGTGCATTGGGGCTGGCCATGGCAAAGCCAAGCTCAAATCCTAATGGAGAGAGCAGAAATGTGAGATCAGCAAGAACTTTGTGATCGGAGGACAGTCATACATGATACATACATGTATACAACATACATGAGCATACTGCTGGAGATACAGTATATTAGCCTTTACAAACAAAGGATTATAAATATACACACCTCTGCGCTAACCCTTACCCACTAACCCAAAAACTCAGAGCTGCCACTATCCTCACCCACCATGCTTCAAAAAAGCACCATGCCCACTTAGACCATTGATCCATGACACTGATTTACAGTGGAGAGCAGATATCACCATCTGTTCTCTATTACACTTAGGTTGTTAGGTTATGCACAATTACAGCCATATTTAATGGTCCACTCATAAAATGCATGCAGGCTGTGCAATGCAGCCTGTATTGCCACACAGAGTTCTCTCTGCTTATGCAAAAGAGAAGAGCTTTGTGATTGCAAGAGAGTCATGTGACTTTGACAGATCACATGACTGCAGCCCCATTCAGAACTAGTTCTACAGCTTGGTTGTGAACATCAGGCTCTCACACTCACCCAGCACTCCATATTCAGACAGGGAGCTGTTGCACACTGTATATGGAGCTTGGTTGGGCCACAGATGGTTCATGGGAATACAGGTTCTCTTGTCTACATTTTGGTCATGTAAAACATGATGACGGTGGCTACAGGAAAGAAGAAAAAGAACAGGACTTGTTAATTGTATTACAGCATCAACCCGACTAAACTTTGCACACTGTTTAGTGTGTTCATCATTGAAGCACAGCGCCACAATACCTGAAAGTTCCTCTTTCTACATCTTGTCCACTGAGGCGGATGTGAATGCCGTCTCTTAAGAGTGACCCAAATGCCATGTACTCAGCCAGTGCCCAGTCAACAGTTCTGTTCTTCACCATCTCCCCTCGACCTTTCAGGATGCGGCTGAGACCTAGTAGGGTGACATCATTGTTGTTTATGTAAAGATGGCTAACTTAAGCACAAAACAGTCAGATGTATAGGAAAAGTCTTCACCTCCATGAATAGTAAAATCTTCTACAGGTACTGAGCTGGCCACATTCCCGATGTATGCAAGATCCTCCTCAATGAGACCGGTAGAGGGGCAGGCCATGCTGCGTGGCTGACCATCCAGAGTGAAGAAACCTGCACAGCATTAGACAATAATATCACATTAATCCAAACCTCAAAAATGTTTCACCGATCAATGTTCCTAGTCCAATGCTTCCTTATAAAATGAAACCATTACATGCAAATAATGAACCTGTGATAACATTAAAGTGACACTAAACTCAGGTGTTAAATCATAAAAACACATTCAAGTACCTTAACTATTAACAGAAATGTATCTTATTTGTGTATCACTCGGCTGTAGATCCTCAAATCATCTCTGAATTGGTGCCGACACTGTCTTTCCTTCTGGAGGGTGGCTACTTTTGTTCCCCATGGTTCCTGTGTGTGTTGTAAAGTAGTCACCACTCCCGCTAACTCCTGTGATGGACTACAATCTCAATACAAATTAGTAAACTAAACGTGAGATTGTAGTCCATCACAGGAGTGAGCTTGGAGCGGTGGCTACTTTACAATACACACAGGGACCATGGGGAACAAAAGTAGCCCCCCTCCAGAAGGAAGGACAGTGTCAGCACCAATTCAGAGATGATTTGGGGATCTACAGCCGAGTGATACACAAATAAGATACATTTCTGTTAATACTTAGGGTACTTGAATGCATTTTTTTGATTTAACACCTGAGTGTCACTTTAAGGGCATTCACATTTACGAGAACTGCATGAAGATTGTTATCTGATGCTAGGAAAAGGTCTAGTTCTTTCACTATGGGTGCAGCAATTTGAGAGTCAAATGCTAGGGTAAAGCAATAAAATGCTTCCTGCCATTACAGATATTAGATCTACTCATCTATTGCTGCCCACATACAGGTGTCTTCCATTATATTGGATCTGTTGGGCCAATAACATTTATCAGCACTGCATTGAGAGGGCTTACCCCAATAAAAAAAGAAGAATGGATACTTTGGGGAGCCCTCACACTACTAGAGATACCGACAGGTTAAATGCAAAGTATGGAAAGAGTCAATACCAGGCCATGGGGAATCCAGCCAGTGCTTGATGTGAAGGATCTTTTCATCTTTGGAACGGTTTAAAGCCTCCTCACAGATCTTGTCATACTTTGCAATCTCCTCCTGTAAGACATAAAAGTTTTATTGCATCTCTCTATTTCCAATCTGAAACCACCATTTGCTCCTCACTCAGAGTCAACTATTAATTTTCAATCTAAGCATACCATACCTCGTACTCCAGCTGGTTGACTACGCCTTGTGATATCAGAGTCTCTGCATATTTTTGCAGTACTGTTTTTTGTTTGCGGATCTGCTTATACATTAGAGGTTGAGTAAACATAGGTTCGTCCATCTCATTGTGTCCGTTCCTGCGGTAGCAGACCTGCACATAAGCAATAGTTGTGAAGGGTGAGAAGTGCTAAAGCAAACCTACAACAACTCCAACACGTCTTTAGCTATTTAACAGGAATACGGGCTGCCCAACCTTTTGTATATAGCAGGAGAGATGTCCTAACATTTTGGAACTGTATATAAAAATTTAGAAGCTGCCTATCAAGTGAACACAACATCATTGGAATGCTCAGAGAGGGACAGAACACCCAGAATCTGGGTAATATATGTGCAGCTACCCCCGGAGGTCCCCAGGATACAGAGAAGACATTTGATAATGCATTAAACATGGAGACCTTTTACTTTGTGCTAAACTAACTGCATTGAGTTAATAAATAACACATATAGGTCAATTTTACATTGCGCCTTTGTGCAAAACGGTAAAAAAAAAACGTAAAGTGGTGCAAAACTGTAAATCAGCGACTTATGTTAAAAATCGTTTGTGCGCTGCGTTGGGTGTGTGTTGTGATAAAATGATACAGGTGTACATTTAACAACACAGCACATCACAACGCACGGCAATTCGTCACAATGTTTTGCCACGTGCTCCCACACAGTTAAATTAATGTTATTTTAAGAAGATAAAATCAAGCACTGCGATGTGTTCTAACAAGGCACCGCATGTGCATGGCGTACACCAAAATATGGTGCAAACTGTTGCACGTGTGATTGTTTTTCTATTTTTTTTTACTGTTGGGGGCTTCGGGGAGATATCAGGGGTCTAAACAGACCCCTGACATTTCCCTTTTGAAATAGAAAAAGAAATTGAAACTAACAGGATGACAGCGGCTCCGCTATCCTCTCTGCTCAGCCATCCCGAATACAGCGGCTCCCTCCTCCACCGGCTTCATTCATTTTTTTTTTCCCGGATCCCCGCTGCCTCAGCCCATAAAAGCGGGGGAGAGCAGCGGGGATCCAAAGAGAAACAGATACCAGCAAGAAGAGCTGTCAGATGCCGATGGCCGGTGGCAGCGGGGCCCGCCCAGAATTTTTGTTAATAGCTGTCATCAGCGGCTTTTCAGCTAATAATTTAAAGGGGACTGTCAGGGGAACCCTTCTGCTAGAGCGACCATGAGCATATAGCAGAAGGGAGAAAGCCACTGACGTAAGGCAGGGAAAGGGTTACATTTCCTAGAAATCGTCATTCGTGACCTAGAACAGAGAATAATAATAAAGCAAATTATATGACTAACTTCACCTCACATTAACCAGATAAACCCCACAATCATTAACGTCATAATAATATCGGTCATTCAAAATACAGAGCAAAGTCACCTTGCAGTGCAGAATTCCACAGCACAAACTAGAACAGGCCAGAGTTGCTGCAACACTGCATACTTGCTGGAATTCACATACCCAAACCCTATCTGATCATAGGTCATACGTGTCTAAGGAATCAAAACATAAACAGAAAACAAGGTCTCGAAAACCATGCAGGGAAACACAGCCTCCATGTCCAGGTTTTCTGATTTTCACCGAGGCCTCATTTACACCTGCCAAGCACGATAGGCTGTATTAAATTTGTCGCAGCATACGTACCTACCTGAGTGGATGCCATGTTAGATTCTAGATGGGTGGTCCGGGAGAGGTAAAAACACGGGTCAATTGTCTGTTTTTACCTCACCTTTGCTGCCCATGTAAACAAGGCCTTTACCTGATACTATCTTGGGGAGCCTATGAAGGATAAGGGGGGATTAATAGGATCCCCACAACTGCACAAGGGGTCCTCAAGCAAATCCTGCCTTCAAAGCTCCCCCTTGGCACCCTTCTTACTATCTCACTTTTCCCATCCCACACGCTACTGCCAGTATCCTCCTTCGGGCTCCTATGCTGCCAAGAAAGCTGGTCAGTGGATGTTCACCGCCACTAAATGACAGCTGCTTCAGTTTGGCTAACAAGCATTAGAAGTGGGACTGCAGAGAATAGCGGTTCTGATATTGAGCTTGAACATTTAGACTGCTGCAGATGCATGCAAGACCTATACATACCAAGTCCACCACCACGTCCTTGTGAAAGGTAGCCCTCCACTCTGCAGCCACATTACACACATACACAACAGCCTCGGGGTCATCTGCGTTGACATGGAAAATTGGAGCATTGACCACCCTAGCAACATCTGTGGGGTATGGAGAAGAGCGTGCCATTCGAGGATCAGTGGTGAAACCAATCTGAAAACACAAGTGCATTATCAGGTTAGGGTCAGAGCAGTACAACTGTATATAGCATGACATATGTGCTAACCTACAATTGTGCTCAAAGATACAAAGGATGACTGGAAGTTAAAGACTTAATGGAACTGAATGCAAGAGACACACCGGCGGCATTCTGTAGCTCCAAGCAGGAAAGAGTCGCTATAGTAAGGTAGTTAAATTCAATTATAGTTTGATAATACGTTATAAGATATTCCAGTTACAATTGGCTTATAGAGCTGTGAGGTCACAAATCTTTTAATGCAGTTTCAAGAAGCACACAGAATAGAAATTGGTGAGTTTTTGGCCTAATACTGAATAGTTAGACTGAGCAGTATTTCCTTTAGTGGCTAATAATTGTAAGAAATGTTACCGTTAGGATGCAGCTATTAGTAGCATGGCAATTTATTTCTACTGGTCAGTGCATTGCTAATCTACTAAACATTCAATAGAGCTCTGGCAATATAGGGAACGAAGCGTACTAACATTTGTCCTTTACCGTCTCCTGTAGAGAAGGATGCAAAATATACATCTGGGGAAGGGGAGGTGGGGTAGTTTAGGTTGGGCGGCACTTTTTTTTTACTCTTTGGCTCCTATGAGTAAACTTGGGTGCTTTTTTCCCCTTGTATCCAAATATACAGATAAAAGGTTTTTGCAACTTCCAATGCATTATGATTTAGGGCACCCATTATGCTATGTTGGTGCACTGCAATTCATTTTGAATGGCACCTCAACTTACATTTGCTGCAATGCATTGCATGCACCGCAACCAGGATGTCCTGAGTGGTTTTCTGATAAAAAAAAACGCAGCCGGCACTATTTTTTCATGTGTTGGGAGGTGTGAAAGGTCCCTTAAAAGGCAGTGTTTAGCTGCAAGGGGTGTGGTTTGGAATGCAACAAGATTCCAAATGGTCTATGTAGGATATTTCCACTTTGTCAGGGTTACTCACAAAAGGGTGAAGAGTTTGGAGAAGTGAACAATCTAGGACAACATAGCTGAACTGGAAAGTGAGATGAATTGGAGACTTTTTCCAAATCAGCTGTGTTGTCCTAGATTGTTCACTGCCTTCTCCAAACTCTTTACCCTTTAGTGAATAACCTTGTGTATGTTTATTAGTACATGATGTTTATTATGAAATGGCGGGTACATGATGTCATGGTGACATCAAAGAGGGCGTGGGAGCGTTTTAATTGGCTTGTTGGTTTGGCATTTATGTATCTATGTGGGATGTTATGTACAGTTATCACTTTGTTTGCCTGATGAAGGAATCTACATGGTTCCGAAACGTTGCCTTCCAATGTGATGATTTGACTATCCAACGTCAATAAAGATGGAATAGTAGAGTGGATATTGGTGTGCCAGTGACTTCTTCTCTTCCACTATGAACTTTGACACCCTTTGTATTTAAAGTCAGGGATCTTAAGCTAGACACAATATACAGTTGTGCTCATAAGTTTACATACCCTGGCAGAATTGATGATTTCCTGGCCATTCTTCAGAGAATATGAATGATAACACGAAAACCTGTCACTTCTTGATTAGAGTTTGAACACTGCCGATTGGCATTCTCAATTCCTTGGATATCTTTTTATATGCCTTTCCTGTTCTATACAGTTCAACTACCTTTTCCCGCAGGTCCTTTGACATTTCTTCTGCTTTCCCCATTACTCAGAATCCAGACACGTCAGTGCAGCCTTGGATGAAGGATGCAAGGGTCTGTCAGGAAACTCATTGGCGTTTTATACACACATACTGGTTACATGCAAACAGATCACAGGTGAGAATGGTTCCCTTTAATAGCCATTCACACCCCTTTGTGTCAACCTGTGTGCATGTTATCAGGCCAAAATCACCAGGGTATGTAAACTTTTGATTAGGGTCATTTGGGTAGTTTCTGTTGTCATTATGATTGAAAAAGAGTAAACACAGTTGATTGATAATAAATGTCTTCAGCCAATCACTACCCATGAGTGACAGAAATGTTTTCGTGTTATCATTCATATTCTCTGACAAATGGCCAGGAAATCATAAATTCTGCCAGGGTATGTAAACTTATGAGCACAACTGTATCTGCCCCATGGTGAGGAGTTTAGAAGAAACAAGGAGATACTCACCTGGTTGTTGACCACCACATGGACAGTGCCGTGTGTTGTGTAAGATGGAAGGTCGCTCAAGTGGAAGGTCTCATAAACGATTCCTTGTCCTGCAAAAGCGGCATCACCATGTAACAAGATAGACATGACCTGTATTCGTAGACAAAAGGAAACCAGTGAGTGTCATGTCTATTAGAAGATCCACCCTCCTCACTGTCGAAATATCAATGCTCATCACCTTTTTTCCTTCGGTGTCTCCACAATAGAACTGCTCAGCTTTGGTTTTTCCCTGGACAACAGGATCTGCTGCTTCAAGATGGGAAGGGTTAGCGACCAAAGACAGAGTGATATTTCTGTCAGTAACTCTGTTTATCCGCCTGTGGTACATTCCCAAGTGGTACTTCACATCTCCAGAACCCTAAATAGGAGAGAAGTGTAAGTGAGACCTTGTTATTCTAAAAAAACATCCAGCAGAGCATAAAACACTCCCACTCAATTTACATTGATACCGGTGTTGGACTTCTCCAAATTCTCGGCTAAGCCTAACTACCACCCCCATTATCCAAAAGAGGGTGTCTCAATGCCCAACAAGGACACTCTCACTTAACAAGGCAATGGAAAATGTTTGACCGATGTCCAAAAGTCAGGCCCCAGTAACAAAGTGAAACTAAATCAAAGAGAAGCATAGAAGAGGCTTTTCTGTGTAACAAATGTAAAGCCAAGCATTCAATAGTGTCTGCTTTAAGAAAATTTACCTTGGCCAAAATGATCCCATAAAAGTAGTTACATTCAAAGATTCCGCAACACGTACCTCATCTGTAGCTTCCAGTTTGGAGTCAAACTGACAGAAAATCTGGTCCAGCTCCTTTCTGATCACGTTGGCCAAGACATTGAGACGACCTCTGTGAGACAGACAGGATATCTTAATATACTGCATCACACATTACTATAAATCTTCATGTTCAGCTTCCTACAGTCCCGGGAACAAAAACAACATTCAGGAAAAGGTGAGTAACAGAATGGTGAACCGTCTTCTAGTTCAAAGACCACTATTGCAAAAAATTCTGCATTCTGCTCACTGCATGTTGTTAATACTTGTAATTACAGTATTCGGTATATGATATAGAAGTGATTGAAGGACGAGACATTACAGTCATTGTTAAAGATCTAGACCCCAGAGAAAACCTTCCCATGTACCTGTGTGGCATTCCCATGATGACATAATCCACACCATTCAAACTGGATTTATCAATGATGGTTTTCAGGGCAGGAATCAGCACTTCACAACCTTCCAATCCAAAACGCTTCTCGGAAGACCACTTACGGTGAAGGAACTCTTCAAATCTGTAATTAAATCAATCATATTACAGATGCTCATGGGACACTAGGCCTTTTGAAACATTATATGTATTTGGCACTTCACATAGTTCTCCGATCCATCCAAAAACTGCCAGATCGGGCGGCTATCATTTCCTGTCTAGTAGGGATGCTCCGATACCGATACTAGTATTGGTATCAGTGGCGATACCGAGTATTTGGGCAAGTACTTGTACTCACCCAAATGCTCAGATGCCTAGTCCGATACCCGAACTTCTGCTATCAGGAAGCCGGGCAGCGAGTAGTGGCCAATCAGGAGACCGAGCAGCGTTTAATGACTCACCGCCTAGCTTCCCGATTGGTCGGGAAGATGGCCAATGAGGAAGCAGGACGGAGAGTCCTTACCCGGCCCCCTGATTGGCCAGAAAGCCAGCTCACCTGGTGACAAGGAAGCATGGAGACGGCTTCCCTGCTAATCGGGAAAACGGGTGGTGAGTCTTTACACGCTGCCTGGCTTCCTTAATGGGACTTCCGGTATCGGTGAGTACCGGAAAAAAGGTATCGGTGCAAATACTGTCTGGGAATGATTTTGGCTTCCTCACTAGCTTTATATATTTTATGTGCACCATTTACCTGGCAACTTAGATGTAGATCTTTTGATGTTACAACTGACTAAGGGTGGTTCTGAAATGGTCAATCTGACCCCTAAACCAATGTTTGAGCTAGGATTGGCCCATTCAGGGCTACCCTGGGAAGCAAAAACAACATCAAAGTAAAAACATTTTTTTAATGTAACAGATTCATCAAGGGTCACTGTCACTCTTGTCCATGAAGTTGCCAAGAAGGGTTCTCTGCTTTTAAATCATGCTAGCGCTATCGCTAATCTGAAAATACTCCCACTGAGAATCATAGAAAGGGCGCAGGTCTTTGAATTTCAGTACCCTAAACTCTGAACTCCCCAAAGGAGCAACTCGTACAGGCTGGGGGCAACCACTCATAACATTTCTGGTAGGGATGAACCGATACTGATACTAGTACCGATGCCGAGTATTTGGGCGAGTACTCATGCTCGCCCAAATGTTTCCGATGCCTAGCCCGATACTTGAACTTCCGGTATCAGGAAGCCGGGCAGCGAGTCATTACACGCTCCCCGGCTTTCTGCTTGCTTGTCACCAATTGATGAGGGAGCATGGAGCCGGCTTCCCGGCCAATCAGGAAGCCGAGCGTCGTGTAATGACGTGTTGCCCGGCTTCCTGATTGGCCAGCTTCTCGACCAATGAGCAAGGCGACGCGTCATTACATGGCGCCCGGCTTCCTGATTGGCCAGAAAGCCGGTTCCATGCATTCTCGAAACCCGACGAGGGAGCATGGAGACGGCTTCACTGCTAATTGGGAAGCCGGGTGGCGAGTGTGAAGGACACCGGTACTCGGGATGAGCATGTCCGCCGCTGTATTCTTCCTTGCTCAGGAGATATTGCAACCCGCTGATCTTTCGCTCCCAGTTTCCCCAGTCACTAGTCGGGACCCAGTGTAGGGAGAAACAAACTCTTGATTTATTAAGAAACTGTGCAACCTTTTCTACAGAAAGTGATCAGATAAAACTATAATCCCATCACATCCACCCTGCTTTCCCTGGACATTCTGTCTGCACAACACCACAGGGTTCCACCTGCTAAAGAGCTCCAGGCAGCCATAGCAGGAGCCTGGCCAGAATGTCATTGTCCTGAGCTCCTTCAGAGTACGAAGGGAGATGAGGTGGGTGCTGACAGTCTTTTCATAACCAGGTTACACAGTAGAACACACTTAAACATAACCCAACACCAATACACATTTAACTCATAAACTGATTACCATGTCGTCACAGCGAGTCTTTACACGCCTCCTGGCTTCCCGGGTAATCAGAAGTCAGGTGGTGAGTCATTAGAGGCCGCCTGCCTTCCTTAATGGGACTTCCAGTATCGGTATTCGGTAAAAAAATTATCTGTACTCGTACTCGATACCGAAAAACCGTTATCAGTGCATCCCTAATTTCTGGATATCAGTAAGGACTCCAATGTGAACAATGAAACTCTTCCTCACTTGATAACAAAGCAGAGAACACAATTTTGGATTTGGACTTGCTCCTTAAAATTAATCAATCAACGTACCTAATCGATCTAACCAGCCTGGCTAGAAGAGTACGTTTCTCCTCACTGTTGTACTGCATGATTCCTGGTGTCTCGAATTTCTGGCGAATCCACTGACACTGCTCCAGATCATTGATAAACATGAACTCTACTCCTATGTGCTGGCAATAGGAAGTCTGCAAAGAGATGGGGTCTCAGGCCAGGAAAAGTACACCACTTGCATACAGTTAGACATGGTTATTTATATATATATATTATTGTATCTCATTTTCCGCGAGTCTCTCTCCTTACCTCCAGCCTCTTGATGATCTCTCGGAGGGGCAGGGCTGTCTCATTGCCTCCAATAAATGTAGTGGTTGGTAGTTGGAAGACTTTGTCTAGGTCGGACTCATCCAGCCCATAAAATCCTACGGAGTCAGCGGTCAAAGACAGACAGACGGAGGCAGCGTTATAGGAAGAGCAACACAATGCAGCCAGTCATGCAGAGGGTTCAATGGTGTTATCAATGGTGAGGTATATTTAATACAAAGGGGCAAACAGATGACAGGACAGGAGTAAGGGACAAAACAGAAAATGAGCACATCACAGGGAAAGGTCATCATGGTGTAGATGTAGCGGTGTTATGATCAAGTGATGGACATGATTTTGGCACATGAAACATTAATGAGAATTTGTAAGAGAGATTTGGTGCAGAGGAGAGTAAAGAACGGGAAGCGGATGAGGATACAAGCAGAATGGGAGGTGGTAAAACGGGGTAGAAGAAAGGCATTAGTCTACAATTGACCTGAAATGACATTTTCTTCCCAGTACAACAACAACATTTTATAGAATATATCAGGAGTCACAGCAGTACAAATAACGGAGCATCACAACTATAGGACCACTCACACATACAAAACCTCCAGATTAACAACTGTTAACATGACTCTCAAGCCAGTTTAAAAGAGCAAGGGCTGGACAAATCCCAGGAGACGGGAAGTCATGGCACTCGCAATACGGCAGCTGGCATCATGTGCTGGAGCTCACGGGCTTATTTGTTTTTTGAAGATATGGTCGTGTTCCATTAACAAGAATATTACACATATTTAAGTGGCTTCCATATCTGGGTGCATACAAACAGAAGAAAAGCTGGCCGCACACTGGATTCCGCTGGGATAGTTTATTGAAACTTGTACCACATCACTGGTGTCCCCCCCC